GATATTTTAAACAAAAAATTTAAATATGCAAAATCTATACAAAAAGTACTATAAATTGTAATTTTTTGCCTATGAATATGATGAAAAAACACATTGTAAAATATTAGTTAAAATTCTTATAGTTTGACTCTAAAAAGGAAATCATAACAATTAAAAGTGCATAGAGAGAGTAATAAATAGGTAATTAAATTTCAAGAAGTTTAAAATAAAAGGTTGAAAAAAAGAATTAAATAGACAACATATATTGAAAATTGAAAACATATAAATAATAAATGGGCCCAAATGAGGTCAAACTTTTTGGCTAATAAAGTAGTAGGTAATTAATGGTGTTAAATTGTCAAATAATATAAATTTTAAAGGTACAACCATAAAAGAAGAATGTACAACACTATGAAGCACATATCATCCAACACTTGTCATGTGTTAAGTAGTAGTTATTCCCACTTATTATATATAGTAATATATATATATATATATATGATATGATATGATGATATGATTATGTCATCGTTATATGCACTCTTGTTTCAATCTTTGTCATACACTCACGGTGTCTTGGATTTCTAGGTTGAGTGTTGCATAAGTTTGGGATGAAAATTAATGATTGATTCTTTTTCAGATGGCCTGGAACATAGCAAATATTTCTAGTGATGAAGGTTGGAAACGATAGTTTCTAGTGAGAAAAATGAACAAATGGAAGCTTCCATTTCATTATCATACTATCTTTATGTGCCTTCGGATGTATCTGCAAACCATTTAACTTTCAGACAACTGAAATGAATATTGGTTTTATTTCTACAGTTGAAGTCTTCCATTTCCAGAGACGTTATTGGTCCTGAAAAATGACGAGAAGTCTCCGTTAGTATGCAGAGTCAACAAGTCAAAGTCTTTCTACTGGTGTTGATGGCTAGAAAAGGTAATGTGAAGATTTCCTATTCTTCTTCGCCTTTCTTTTTCCCCTATAAGTCTGACCCCTCTTATACGTTTGGTTGTTTACGAAAAGGTACTATGGAAATTTCCTTTTTACTTTGCCTTTCTTTTGCTCAATAAGTCTGACCCTTCTTATCGTTTGGTTGTACATAGTGTTTCCTTTTTTTACAAATATATATGAATAAGATAACGACTAGTTATGGAACTTGAGCCTATAAGATAGTCTGTTTAGCTAGAGTTGCAATTCACAAATCTTCAGCTCTCTTTCCTCTTCTTGCAGTAGATATTCAATATGGCTTTGGCTTCTTCTTTTGTTTGCTGTCTTCTATCTCTTCTTCTGATTTTAGTTCAGGCAAAGGGGAGAAATGATTCAGTTTGTCCAAAGTCCTTTTCATGTGGAAATCTTACTGACCTGAGCTTTCCTTTCACTCTTCTAACACAACCTGACTGTGGAATAATGTCCATTTCTGGTTGTAATGTTAAACAATATCCAAGAATCCAATTGCTTCCTGGAGGAGATTGGTATGATGCTATGGACGAGCCGTTTAATTATACAGTTTGGCTCGTGGACCCGAAGCTTCAAACTATATTGAGGAAAAACAAGTGCCAGGCTTTTAACAAAAATATCTCCCTTCCAGATTCTCCTTCTATTTATTTCAAAATTCTCCAAATATATACGAGGGATTTTTACAGATGCAACAGCACTAGTAGTACCCCGAAGAACAAGCATTTTTCTGGTTATAAAATGTACAATGGTTGTAAAGGCTTTAACATATACTACAAGCTTCCCGGAGATGATGATGAAGTCCTTCCAGCAGGCAATCTTACTACAAACTGTTCACTTCTCCAATTGCCAATTCGCCCAACATTAGATGGAAACTTTTATACTCCCGGATTTCTAGTAGAATGGAAACTCTCTGAGGACTGTAACCAATGTCTCTATGGCGGAGGTCAATGCCAGACGGATAAAACCAACAAATTTCATTGTACATATCCAAATAATCCACATGAACAAGGTCTAGTGTATATTCCATGAAGTCCTATATCTTTTTCGTATCAAATATTGTTAATATTTCATAGTATTTTTTCTCTTTTTTTAGATGCAAAAATGACTAGAAGCAAGTGGGGACTGACTCTGGGAGCAGGTAGTTAAATATCCATCAACTGCAGGGTTCTTTCTTCTTTAGATTTTCTACTTCACTGTGTTAAAATCTCAAAAATTGGAGAGACCAGTACTTTAGATTACACAACGTACCGATAGTGGAGTTGAGAGGACATTCTTTCTCCGGGCGAAGTTTAATTTATATTCTATGTTGGTGCATGACTTCGCTTTGCTTTCCACAGGTGCAGTTTTGTTTACAGTTGGACTGTTGGTTTTACTCTTCTGCTTCAGAGAGAAGATTTTGTGGTACAAATACATCAGGTTTTGGGAATCTAATGCTGAGGATCACCAAAATATTGAAGCATTTTTAAAGAACTATGGATCGTGTTCTCCAAAGAGATACAACTATTTAGAAGTCAAAAGAATCACTAGTAGCTTCAAAAATAAACTTGGTCAAGGAGGATATGGTTCTGTATACAAAGGATGTCTGCATAATGGAAGTCATGTGGCTGTGAAGGTCCTGAAGAAACTAAAAGGCAGTGGTGAAGAATTCATTAACGAGGTAGCAAGTATAAGCAAGACCTCACATGTTAACGTCGTGAGCCTTGTGGGATTTTGTTTTGAGGGATGTAAAAGGGCTCTCGTATATGAATTTATGCCAAATGGATCTCTTGAAAAATTTATATACGAGGAAACATCCGACAGTGTTCGCCAATTGGGTTGGCAAATACTGTACAAAATAGCACTAGGCATTGCTCGAGGATTGGAGTACTTGCATCGTGGTTGTACCACTCGGATTTTGCATTTTGATATAAAGCCTCACAATATCCTGCTTGATGACAATTTTTGTCCTAAGATCTCTGATTTTGGTCTTGCCAAACTGTGCATGAAACAGGAGAGTATCGTGTCGATGTTAGGTCCACGAGGGACTATAGGCTATATTGCTCCAGAAATTGTTTGCAGAAATTTGGGAGGTGTGTCGCACAAGTCTGGTGTCTATAGCTATGGAATGATGGTCCTAGAGATGCTGGGAGTAAGAACAAATTTTGATTTTGGAGTTGATGGTTGGAGGAAGAAAAAATGTTGATGTTGGAGTTGATCGCACTAGTGAAATCTACTTTCCACATTGGCTCTATCAGCGAATTGAACTAGACGAAGAGCTTCAACTAATTGGAATAATGAATGAAGAGGATAATGAATGTGCGAGAAAGATGGTGATAGCAAGTTTATGGTGCATACAGACTGATCCCTCAAATCGACCATCGATGAGCAAAGTTGTGGAAATGTTAGAAGGGAAACTAGACTCTTTGCAAATGCCTCCCAAGCCTTACCTATATTCTCCCACAAGAACTGAGGTAGATTTATCAGTACTAGAGCTGGCCCAGTCTTAATTGTTCATATCAGTGTAGTAGATCAAACATTAAGTCGATTACCAGGAGAAGTTTCGTTCAATCAATGTAGTTGTAATAATCTGTCTAGATCTTCAAAGAAACAGTTATATTTAACGAAGATTTAGATTTGTGTTGCAATTATCTTTATTCATCAGGGATGTAAAATTGTTACATGTTATATTGAAAGGATCTAATGACTTTACATAGTCAAAATTCAAAGTTTCCCAGATTTCCATGACAAAGAAGAAGGAAAAGCTAAGTTTAAAGAGAACTCTCAGGTAGGAATAATATCTAAGTTGACTGGAAAATAAAAAATAAAAAAAATTCCACTGAACAATTAATTTAATATCTAGTATTCCTTTTCTTGAGGTAGGAATTATTTTGTTTGAGCATGGGATAATTCCATATGACTTTTAGTCTTCTTCTTTTGTTTGTTTCCTCAATTATTAGTTTTCCTCTTTTGTTTGCTTCCTCAATTATGAGTATTTTTCCATGATTTCTTCACCTCCGATATGTCTTTTTCGATCAACTTAGAGATGCATGACTTTTGGAGGATCCGACACACACCCTATGGCGCTTTTGAAGAGTCCGAGTAACATAGCTCCCCAGACCCCACTTGTGAAATTACACTGGCATGTTGTTGTTATTCTTTTGTTTGTTTCCATGTGTCATGTAATCTTTGGTTTTTGGTATCTGATCTCATTTGTGGTTTACTATGTTTAGGTGACCTCACCTTGTTGTTGTTGTTACGGTTCCTTGCATAATAGTAATAATTTTACTATTCACACATTGGCATAATGTATATATAGTACCTGATAGCCTTCAATCAAAATGATTTGTTCTGCATTCATTTTTATGCAGCAGCAAAGACATGAAGAACGATGGTCTATATCATCTATCTGTCAATATCCAGAAGCTGAAGCAGATGAAGAAAACTAACGTCGACTAAGTAATTGAAAGTGAGTCTATTTTTCAGTTATAAAAGCATAAAGCAGAAGGTAACTCGAACTAGTTTGGAATTGAAACATAGTTGATTGATATCTGTACACTTGATACAATTAGCTGTTGTCACGCTTTTAGAAAAAAAGTATAGGGAGACAAAACTCAATACTCATTCCACCCAATTTATGTCCAAGTCCTTGAGTTTCATTAGCCATTTCTTTGCATCTTGTGCAACAAAAGGTTTAGACAATGCCATTTCACAATTTACATCATTAGCTAACAATTCAACTTTCTTCTCTTTGGCTAGGCTTGTGATATACCGTGAGTTTACAGTATTTCTAATACATTTCACTTGCAAGTTGTGTGTGTCTAGGGCCTTTTTGTATTGATTTTTATGTGTTTTTATCATATTTTGCAGGAAAGATGTTCAGGCGCGGAAATATAGGGACAGCTGAAAGAAATGCAGAAAAAAGGCATTCACGGAGGTGATCTACGGACCGTAGGTCCATCGACGGTCCGTAGGTGATGACCGTAGATCGGCAGGCAAGGCATGGAAGACAAATCAGGGAAATCTGACCAAGTGTGGAACCACGGTGGCCAATGACGGTCCGTAGATTGATCTACGGACCGTACTGTTGATCCGTATATTGATACTGCGAGGGTTCCAGTACCTGATTTTTGAAGATTCTAAGTGTGGAGCTATGGAGAGGATTGACGGACCGTAGATCGATCTACGATCCGTACTGCTAGTCCGTCGTTCGCTTCAGAGAAGCTGATTTTTGTAAGCGGAAATATTTCTAAGTCTTGGCTGACGGAAGGGACTTACGGACCATAGATCCATCAACGGTCCGTAAGTCAGTCTCGTGGAATGAAGACGCGTACCTGA